GAGGCCAAGGCTGGCAAGGGCAGCGCCACCCTGTCCATGGCCTACTCGGGAGCCCGGTTCGGAAACAAGGCCGGACGGGCAAAGCAGAAAGCGCGGTTCATAGATGGGCCATGTTTTAAAGAGGCCCCTTTTGTCGGTCATGTTAGCCAACTTGGTACAGATCCTGACTGACAATGGTTGCTGTTGATTCCTAGGGAACCTCACAGGTGGTTCTGGACATGCAAAGCATTACTTGTTTGGAGCAAATGCACCCATATGGGGCTTGCCGGTTCTTTCGAGGCTCGGTGCCCAAACCAAATTGCTTGAACACAAGGAACCAGGAAACCATTCCCATGTCGGGGAATCAAAGGACAGTGATGAAGAACTTTTTTTGATGTTTCAAGATTCAACGTATGTTCTGTTTTTGTTGAGCTCCCTCTTGGAGTATGGGTGTATTTTTTCCGGGTTCCTTTAATGGATTTAAAGGGCAAAGGGAAGGACCATTTGGGGTCCCCCCCCAAAAACCCACACCCATGTACAGACCATGCGTTTGTGACTGCGTGACCTGGGAGATATGAAGCGTTGAGTCCTTTGCAGTGCAGTTCTTCAGACCCCTGGCGTTTGCTTAGCATGAGAGCTTCAACTGCTAGACCGGCAACGCGGAAGCAAGCCACCGTCCACCGACTGGTTCCGGAAGCCTCAGTTGTAGCCTACGCGCCTTTGTCAGCCGGAACTCCAAACTCGTTGAGTGGGTCCCCGTAGATTGGCGCGCGCGAAAAAATCACCATGGGTAGGTAGTGCTCCAAATAGAGCGGCTCTGCGTGGCTGTCGTGGACTTACCTGGGCCGGTTCTTTGTGGGTTCGAGAACAATCAAAAGCAGTCGGTTTGTTGGTGTTCCCTTGAATCCTTGGTTTCTAATTTGGTTCCAATTCCGATTTGGTTTGAATTTGGTTTCCCATTGTTTTCTCTCTTTTCACTCTTTCCGTTTAGACCAACAGACCCGATCCGCTTTCCAAACAAGTCAAGGCTTCAAGGCTTCACGGCGACATGACTCCGAGGTCTCGATCGACAAGTCACCCTTGAAGGCATGCAAGGAAGCCTTGGTTGAATGGACGCGCTCGCTTCTTTCTTTGTTTTTTGTTTTTGTGAGGATTCCTTTCATCTTGCTGGTGCTCAGCAGGGGAATGAGACATGGAGCGACCCAAGCAAAAACCATCCAAGTGGTGGTTTCCTAGGGGACCGAAGCCTGGGTTCATTCCATTTCTCATTCCTTACCGATTTTGCGCCAGCAAGTTTTTGTTTGCTACCAAAATGATCTTCTGACAAGGTGAGCGACGGGACACCAAATGACATTTGCTCGGGTGTGGCTCAAAAATTCAAGAGCTAGGGCAGCACGCAGGTTTTAGTCTTTGGTTCCATTTAGCAGGGTGCCATTTTGGTATCTTCTGGACTTCCATTCATTTGGGTGTGGCTCAAAATGAAACAGCTGGGGTTACGCAGGATTTAGTCTACCTTTTTTGCCATGGTTCCATTTTGGACTCCCCATTTTTCAGCCACAGCCATGTCTGTTTCCCTCTAAACCATTAACCCAACGGCCGCAGCCCCCGCCTCCCAGCACCCTCCCAGCACCCTCCCAGCCTCCAAGAGGTTCTCGCCGGGCTGGCCGGCACACCCACGGTGGAGTGCGCCTACACCGCCTCCACGGTCACGGAGCTGCCCTACTTCTCCTCCAAGGCGCCGATCTGGCGGTTGTCAAAACCGTTTTGGGATCCCATGTTGGGTGGTAGGTGAATTCACCACCCATCTACTTTAGTGGTTGGATTGGGATGTTCACTGGGGGTACGGGGTTTTGACCCATGGCCATCCGAAGAAAGTGGCCAGTTTTTTAGTGGAAACACCACCAATACCCTCCCAACAATGAACACATGATACCTGAGGAGTTTTTTGGGGGGTCCCCGGAAAGCTGGAACCCCCTGGAAAGTGGTTGGTGGACATAAAACCCCCGCCGAATTTCGATGTCCACCAGACATTTCCCTGGTTAAAATTCATGCCCATCTGAAGAACGTGGCCGGATTGAATGCAACAAATCCCACCAGCACCTCTCCTTGCACCTGGGGAATTTTCTGGGGGTCCCGGGTTTGGACCATTTTCTTTGTCGGTTCCAGGTTGATGCGTGGGAGGGTAAATTGCTTTTGGCCTGAAAGATATCATCGAACCCCCTTTGTTGTCGAGTGCATTGTCTCCCTTCCCTTTGAGAAGATTTTGAGCTTCCAACAGGTCAGGAACCTGTTGACAAGTGCCATGTCGGTGTAACCTGGCAGAGTTTAGCTCACTTCAAAGCGAGTTGCCTTTTGCATTTGTCCCCTTTGGCCCATTTTTCGTCACCGCAGATGGTGCAGGTGGAGGGCTTTCCCGAAGACGAGCGGCTTCTCATGTCTTTGAAGCCTTTAGCCCGCCCTCCCCCCACCACTGCCCCCATCCCCAGCTGGCGTGCCGAGTGTCTCTCACTCCTTGCGAGGGGCTCCGAAGGATAGCCCAAGCCGGATGGGCGGGGGACACCCCCTGGAAACGGGGGGGTCTGAATTGGGAGAAATCTGCATGTACCTCCCCTCCCCCCACCGCAAAATGCAAATGACAACCTGCAAGTCAGATGCTGCACATGAGTTTCTATGAATACCAACGGTTTGAACTATTGTTCAAAGTAAATGGACGCATTACTTTTGGTTGCATGTCCAACAAGTGATTGGTTATGACGTTTCAATATTGGAGAACCCATGGAGACCCCCGAAGAGAGGACTTTGATGGCCCACAACGCTTGGGATCACAAAGATGTCAGCTGGACGTCGGGGATGCATTTCACCTGGGGCGCCTTTTCGGGTTAAGGAAAAACATCCATGGGAAAGGCGTGCGTGTTCGTCTGACAAAGGCCTAAGTTGCTTTTCTCAGCATGCTCTACTGCCAGGATTCTGGAGAGTGTTCAAAGGGTTCACCGGCGTGAGGATGCATCTCACCGGTGGATTTGCACCCATGATGAGGTTCTCCTTCTTAGGGGACTTGTTTCAGGTTGGTGAAACATCATCCCAGATCAGCGCGCTGGTTTCACTCACTGAGCGCCCGATTTGCCATGGTTGGTTTGAAGAAGACACCCCAGTTTCGGGTATTCTAAGCAATAGCATGCACACACACACACATCCACATGGGCGTTTTTCATAGTGGATGGTTGAAACGCGCAACCAAAAGGAGCCCTCGCCCACATTTGCGGGGGAAACAAAAGCAACGAGCATCCAACTTCGGCTTTCGCAGTTTTGAGGGCCTTTATTGAAAAGAAGGCCCTGTTGTAAATTAACCCACGCTCTTTCTTTTTCTTTTTCTGCAGGGGCCTTCGTTTGTTTCTTCTTTTTCCTTTCAGTTGTTTGGCCTGCTGCATGTGGATCAGTCGCGAAGTCGTATTTTTTTTCTCAACCCAAGTCCCTTCATTTCTTGAAAGGGCTTTTGTCCGAGGAGACACCCACGCGTCTTTTTTTGGGTTCGCGTTTGACCACAGGTGGCCTTTTAGGTGGTTCCACTGGTTGCTTGGTTTCAATCATAAAATCTATGTTTTCCTTTAGAGTTTGGGCATGGTTTTGCCCGACAGCTCTTTCAGCTTTGCTTTGGGGTCTTTGCCCAGATCGGCTCCGGGGTTTGGGGCAGCTTGGGAGGGTTCAAAAGGAGATTTGGTTCCAGGGTTTCCGGGACTGTTGGGGATACAACCTGCGCTTATCTTGCTGGTGCTCAGTAGGATATGACCGAGCCCGGGTGTTGGGAATGAACTGTTTAGGGCTTCCCTTAAAGGAAACCAACTCGGGGACGGTTTTTCTCGCCTTAGATGGTTTTGTTTTTGTCTTAGTATCCTCCATGTTTTTGTTTGGACATGCCATTCTCCCGTTTTGTTTTCTTCCCCGCGCGAGGTGACCTTCGGCCCCAAGGGCGTGGAGAAGATCCACGACATCGGGAGCTTGAACAGCTACGAGCAGGAGAGGCTCAAGGAGGCGGGGCTGGGTGGGGTGGGGTGGGGTGGGGAGGGTGGGGTTGAGGTTCTTGTGGTTTGTCCCGTTCTTTTTTTTTGGGATGGGGCGGCATATGAGGGCAGGGGTGGTTTGAGGGTCATTTTGTTTTTTGAAGAAGCCAAAAAGCAATAACACCACACAATTCTTGAGCTAAGTCTAGATAGAGCACTATTAGATGCGGTGACACGCCAGAACATGCCTTTCCAGTGCCACATCCATTGATCTTCCACATATAATTTGAGCGAATCCTCTTGTAGAATGTTGCCGATGTTTGGGATCCATTTCTGATCCCATGTCCCATGTCGGATATACAAATGGCGACCTCGCCCGGGTGACAAGCGTTTTCTTGTTTTTGCTTTGGTGTGTGTGTGTGTGTTGTTTTAGGAGACCCCCGAAAATGGAGCGCAACGCTTTTCCTTTAACCAACCAAAGGGAGCCCCCCGAGCCTCAAAAAGAATAACAATAAAAACCTGATCGGCAGCCACAGGCCATGGACCAGCTGAAGAAGGAGATCGACAAGGGCCTGGAGTATGCGGCCGCGAATTGCTGAGAACGCGATATCTCATGGTTTCCACTTCGGGCTGCTTGGCGCTAGGCGGCAGATGCGTTGCCTATCCCGCAATGGCCCGGATTGATTGATGGATTTTGAGGCCTCCGGATCGAGTTTTGCGCGGAAGCCCCGACTCACTCATTTTAGCCACCGGAGTTCTGATCGTGGTGGCTCGCGCAGCGAAAGGTGCGCTCTCGGGTGCTTCGAACCAGAAGTGCGCACATGCGTTGAGGTACGTGGTGCGGGTTTTTGGTGCACTCGTCGAGCACTTGCCTGGGCATGTCATTTTGCTTAGAGGAACAGATTGCAGCTTGCCCTCCCATCGGGCCCTACCTGACGTTTCGGGGTCCAAGAGGCTCGTCCTGAAAGGAAACCTGTGTTGGGTTCCATGTTAGACAGGAGAGCTCGAGCTTCCCTTGCGCAGGCGAGATCCAAAGGCGGTAAGGCCGGCTTCGGCTCGGGGATCGGGGCAAGTAGTCCAAGGCTCCGGCGAGATGTGCCGTGACTTGTTCGAAACCGGATGCATGTCAAGTTGATGTTAGTTAATAGAACCACGAATTCTCGGGACTAGAGAAGAACATCGTCTCGATCAGTTTGTGTTCGACAAATCACTGTTATGACACTTTTTTGGTGGAAACCCGACAGAGCTTCGGCGTATGGAGTAAATGTTGAAGGACAGAGCATCGTCCACAAGGTTTCTCCAGCATTCTTGCTTGCAGTGTTACAATCTCTGTTGTTCTTTGCGGAAATGAGTTTCCTTCCTCTGAGCGCTGTGATACGTTTTGATCATTTCTTGTTCTGATTTCCTGTAGAAGGCATGGAGCGCTTGACCTCTGGATGCATGCCTTGTTTTCTTTGTGCCATTTTAAGGTCTGAATCCGAAGGCAGCGGCCTGAGCACATGCAAAGACCATCGGTGCCCTTCTTAGATAAGCTTGGCTAGAAATAGATGGCACTGGTTTAGATGGGCTTGATTCCATTTACCCGGGCCATCTATTTTTCCAAAGGCCACCTATGGGCAAGACTGATTCAGTTTGATGGCTGCCGCAATTTTTTCGTGCCGCTGATTGGGCTGATTCCCCGCCGTGTTGGCAGACCTGTCTGACCTGGCAAGGATGATCTTCGGCGATAGTGCCTTCTCTCGTTTTTTTTTTTCAAGGATTCAGTGCCTTCTCTCGCATTTTTTTTAAAAAGGAATGAGTGCCTTCTCTTGGCACCTTTTATTTTGTATTTTTAACTTGTTTTTGTTTAAAGGAATGAGTGCCTTCTCTCGCCACTCTTTTTTTTAAAAGTAATTATGGCCTTCTCTCGCCACTGTCTTTTGTTTTTTAAAGGAATGAGTGCCTTCTCTTGAAACTTTTTTTTGCCCCTAAGAAATGAGTGCCCTCTCTAACAAAGGAATCAGTGCCTTCTCTCGCCACTTTCTTGGAAATAAAAGAATCAGTGCCTTCTCTCGCCATCTTTTTTTAGGAATGAGTGCCTTCTCTCGCCACTTGTTTTTGTTTTCTTGTTTTCCCCGTTTTTTTTGGAATGAGGGCCTTCTCTCGCCACTGTTTTTTTTGGTTTGTAAGGAATGAGTGCCTTTTCTCGCCATTTTGTTTTAAAAGAATGAGTGCCTTCTCTCGCCATTTTTTCTTTTTAATCAAAGGAATGATTGCCTTCTCTCGCCACTTTGTTTTTTAAAGGAATGAGTGCCTTCTCTCAACTTTTTCCCCCTAAGAAATGAGTGCCCTCTCTCGCCACGTTTTTTTTTTCCAATAAAGGAATGAGTGCCTTCTCTCGCCACCTTTTTTTTTAAAGGAATGATTGCCTTCTCTCGCCACTTTTTTTTTTTTTTTTTTTTTTTTAAAGGAATGAGTGCCTTCTCTCGAAACTTGTTTTTCCCAAAGGAATGAGTGGCCCTCTCTCGCCACTTGTTATTCTTTTTTAAGAAATGAGTGCATTCTCTCGCCACTCTTTTTTTCTTTTTTTAAGGAATGAGTGCCCTCTCTCGCCACTTTGTTTTTGATAAAGGAAATCAGCACCATTTTTCTTTTTTGTTAAGGAATCAGTGCCTGCTCTCGCCACTTTTGTTTTTTAAGGAGTCAGTGCCTTCTCTCGCCACTTTTTTTCTTTTAAAGGAATCGGTGCCTTCTCTCGCCGCTTTTTTGAATAAAAGGAATCAGACTCCCCAACATGGCATTATTTTCCTTTTTCGACCACAAGACGGAGCCCTCAAGAAAGAGACACGCCCACCCAGCTTGGTTTCTTTCGCAGGTTTCCGAGGCCTGTTTTGTTCTGGGTAGAACATCCCTGGCATTTGTTTGGAATGCGGGAGATGGCATGGAGATAACTGAACTCGGCCACGAATTTCGGGGGTTGCATTTGGGACCTCTGAGCACTAAACTTGCTACCAATTTTTGAGGTTTGCCTTTTCTTCGGGTTCCCAATGGGGGTTGTTAGGGTGATACATACCCATTTAGAAAGGCCAATCAAGCCACATGCTTGACAGAGACCCGTGTATCATCGCAGTTTCGGCTGGGTATATAAAGATGCCCCGCCCTGCATCATGGAGCACCGGTCTATTTTGCCACCACCTTCCTTCAGTGTATCTTTCCCCAGACAGCTGAAAGCGATAGGGCTTCTAGCTTCTGGTGTATTTTTTGTTGGTGGGCGGCGCCCATGGAGCCCCCCCTCCCCCGTCCGCGTCCGCGTCCCCCCCATCCCCTTCCCCGCGAGCTTTCTCCGCCCCGAGCTCCGCCGTCCGGAGGTCTTCTGCTACTGCGCCAAGGGCATCTCCCGGAGCTCCTCGCTGGTGATCGCGCCAAGCTCAGCAAGCCGAGGAAACCGAGCGGTCCAGTCGGGGGAAGGACCGCGGGAATCTTCGTGTCCTTGGCAACCCGTTTCACAGGGCAACGCCATTTTGCCAGGGCAACGCAATTTTGTGTGTGGCCCTAGCTTTTACCCACTGTCAGTTCTCTGCCTCCTTCTGTTAACCTCGTTTCTGTGGGGTGTTCTCTACCCGGGGGGATGAAACTTCCAACAAGATAGGAACCTGAAATCTTGCGTGCTTCTGTTTTCTGCTCGCTGGGCAGCTAGCATTCGGCCGCTGGGCAGCTCGAAGTGGTTCAAGGTCGTGGCATGTGGGCATCTTGTTTCGACTTGGCCCCTGGGATGCACACATCTTCGGGCTCGCAATTGTCAGCTGGCTATGTGTCAGAAAGATGAGGCTTCCCCTATTTCATAGGGGAACCCTCATAGGCTTTTCTGAGTACCGCTCAAAACAGCGGGGACACACCTGACCCGCGCCTTCCTTTCGGCTCCAGGGTTGAGGCCTCGAGGCGCCTAGGATTCTCTCGCGCCCGTGAGCCCTCGCGCGCGGCGCTGGGCGCATGGTGTCAGCGCAGCGCGCGGCGGGATGAGGCGCGGGGCCCGGTGCGCCCTGCGCGCGCGCCTCGGCGCAAAGTGCGCTGGTTGGTCCAGGAGGAGCCGACGGGTTTTTAGTACTAGGGGTGCTCCATTTGAGGGGAGCCTGTACTTGTTTTCTTTTTGGATTTTGGGTTGGTAATGCCAATGATTCCTTGTGAAATTGTCTGGGATAGATATGAGGGAGGGACTCTTGATTTTCAATTCGGAAGTTTGTTTGCTTGCACATGGATGGCCCTGGCTGCTGGCAGCTCTCGTTACTTACTCCCGATTTGCAAGCAAAGGGGAGCCCCTGAACTTCCAATGGAAGGTCTTGGTTTTGGTTTCGACGCGAGGTCCGTGTCGGCCTGTTGTCTTGTTCCCTTTGGTGGGCCTTTGCTTTCCTCAAGGAGGACCTGTTGAACTATATCCCCCGAGGCCCGGGACTGGGGAGATGACCCGCAGGGGGAATTCCATGGAAGTACCTTGGGAATTGCATTCGACCGAAGCCCGTCTCATCGCACTCAGGCTTCTCAATGCCCTGCTGCTTGGGTCCCTTCCGGACCTCTTCCTGGGAGGCTCGTGCGCTTTGGATTTCTTCAGCGGCCCGTGGGGTTTGGGGCTGAACGCCTGAAGCTGAAGTCAGTCCCGCGAGCCGAATAAAACGCCGAGATGGGGCTGCCTGGTGCTTCAGTTTCCGAGAGGGGCAGACAAATTTCGCCTGGCTTGAGTTGCAGCCAGCTTTGAGTTGTGCACATGTGCAATGGTCACTGCCGAGTTCACAACGTCCACTCTCTTCGGCCCAAGCGGGCGGCTTCGGCCGTTTCCCGGCCGCAAACGCGCCAGGCGTGTCTCCAGCCCGGCCAAACGCGAAGGCTGAGGCGGGGCACTGGGCTTTTTTCTGCTGAGGGCAATATCCAGCAGTCGGAGAAGTGACTCATTTTGTGCTGGTGGGATGTTCTCGAGCCACCGTTCCAACCCCGCTAGACAGAAGCTTAACCTACTGGTTCCTTTGTGGTTCGGCAGGCAAAGGAGGTCCGACTGCTGGATGAGGAGGGCAGCTGGATCTTCCTCCTCTTGCGGGGCATGACCACCGCACGGGCCCCGAAAGCGCCGCACGGATCCGTCGCGTGAAGCAACACCAAAGCAACACCTTGGAATCAGTACCTTGGGGAAGATTTGGGAAGGCCAGAAACAGGGCTACCCTTCTTGTTTTTGCTTTTTTCCCGAAAGCATGGCGAAGGGTTCTTCCGCTGGGTTCACTTGAGTTGTTCTCATGAGAGTCATTACAAGGTGTCATTGCAAGGAATCATCATCATGAAAGTCAGTGCAGGGAGTCATTGCAAGGAGTCATTGCAAGGAGTCATTGCAAGGAGTCATTGTCATTGCAAGGAGTCATTGCAAGGAGTCACTGCAAGGAGTCATTGCAAGGAGTCATTGCAAGGAGTCATTGCAAGGAGTCATTGCAAGGAGTCATCATGCAAGGAGTCATTGCAAGGAGTCATTGCAAGGAGTCATTGCAAGGAGTCATTGCAAGGAGTCATTGCAAGGAGTCATTGCAAGGAGTCATTGCAAGGAGTCATTGCAAGGAGTCATTGCAAGGAGTCATTGCAAGGAGTCATGGCAAGGATTGCAACTTGCACTTGACTCCTTGCACTTGCAACTTGCACTTGACTCCTTGCACTTGCAACTTGCACTTGACTCCATGCACTTGCAACTTGCACTTGACTCCATGCACTTGGCTCCTTGCACTTGGCTCCTTGCACTTGGCAACTTGCACTTAACTCCGTGCACTTGCGACTTGCACTTGACTCCATGCACTTGGCTCCTTGCAACTTGCAATGGCTCTCATGACTCCTTGCAATGACTCCTTGCAATGACTCCTTGCAATGACTCCTTGCAATGACTCCTTGCCATGACTCCTTGCAATGACTCCTTGCAATGACTCCTTGCAATGACTCCTTGCAATGACTCCTTGAAACAAGCAAGGAGTCAAGTGCAAGTTGCAAGTGCAAGGAGTCAAGTGCAATTGACTTGCGAGGAGTTAAAATCTCTTCTTAGGGCGGCGGGGTAGTGCCGACGACACTGCACGAAAATCGACCCTCTGCGGGGATCGGCGTGGTCGAGGTGCAAAAACCCATGGTTTTTTGCGATTTCAACATGCCCGCGCGACCCTCTGCGGGGATCGGCGTGGTCGAGGTGCAAAAACCCATGGTTTTTTTGCGATTTCCAACATGCCCGCGCGACCCTCTGCGGGGATCGGCGTGGTCGAGGTGCAAAAACCCATGGTTTTTTGCGATTTCTGCGGTGCTCGCGCAACCCTCTGCGGGGATCGGCGTGGTCGAGGTGCAAAAACCCATTGTTTTTTTTGCGATTTCTGCGGTGCCCGCGCAACCCTCTGCGGGCATCGGCGTGGTCGAGGTGCAAAAACCCATTGTTTTTTTTTGCGATTTCTGCGGTGCCCGCGCAACCGTCTGCGGGCATCGGCGTGGTCGAGGTGCAAAAATTCGACGTGGTCGAGGTGCAAAAACTCGAGGTTTTTTGCGACTTTTCGAACTGGTCCTCGGGAGTTGTCTCGTGGCCTGCTCCCGGAACCGGCGGGTCGCGGGTTCGATTCCTCCCTGGTCCGCGGGCGGGCGTCGCAAGATGCAACTTGCATTTTAAAGCAACTTGCGCAGAGCAACTTGCGCAGAGCAAGTTGCACAGAGCAACTTGCGCAGACCAACTTGCACCGACCAGTTTGCGCAGAGCGCCTTGCCTAGAGCAACTTGCGCAGAGCAACTTACGCAGAGCAACTTGCACAGAGCAACTTGCACAGAGCAGCTTGCACAGAGCAACTTGCAGGGAGCGCAATTTGCACAGAGCAACTTGCAGGGAGCCACTTGCAGGGACCAACTTGCCGGAGCAACTTGCGCGGAGCAACTTGCGCAGAGCAACTTGCACAGTGCAACTTGCGTAGAGCAACTTGCGCAGACCAACTTGCACCGACCAGTTTGCGCAGAGCACCTTGCCTGGTGCTGTCTCGCGCTTGCTTCACAAATGCTTCGTGTAGGGATGCAGCGTTGGGCCGACCTCGCTTGCGATGTTTTGCTTTCGGGCCAACCGTGGTCTAGTTTTTTTATTGAGGTATCTTCCAGGCTTCCTTCAAAAAAAGAGACAAGCCCAAGTGACATTTGTGGCCCCTCGGGGGGCCTGACTCTGCGACCGATTCAACTGTTTGGCCTGAGCCATTCTGAGTGCAGGGAGCCAACTTTTTGCGGGTGTCTAAGTAAGAGGAGTCGGTCACCATATGGCTGTGGGTCGAAGCCAATGGTGCCATTTTGGGGTAGGTGAATTCACCCATTTTAGTCTATTTTAGTGGGGATTGGGATGTTCACTGGGGGTACGGGGTTTTGACCCATAGCCATATTCTGCACAATCTAGATTTTGCAATGAACGGTTCCTGTCAAAATTCCTTATGCCCGGTGTGTATTCGCTAGTAGTCTGCTCAAGTCAGCCCCCATCCCATACCCGGTCCACATCAATTAAGTGGGGCACCTGATTTTTTCCCCCTTCTTTTCCTTGCTTCGTTTTTCCCCAACAGCTGAAAAGCTTTGGGGTCTCAGCCCAGATAGGCTGCGGGGTGGTCCGGGGCGGCCATGAGGTAAGGTTCCACGAGGGTTCCACCAGGGTTCCAGCAGGGTTCCACGAGGGTTCCACGAGGTTCTGCGAGGGCTGCGGGGTGGTGCGAGCACTAAAAACAGACCGCATGCTGTTGGGCATATCACCTGAGCTTATTTTTTTTTGAACGAAAGATCTCAGAAAGACCAAGCACACAAGTGGGCATGTCTTGGAGCTCCACTTCCATTGGAGCTCCAGACGAATTTTCTTGGCAGAAGCCCAGGATGACAACTGGATCACCACCGGCTGGGTGGTGTCAGAGAGGAGAGCGGGTCATGCACCCCTCGGGGCGAAAACGCGAAAACGCTTCAGGTGCTTCAGGTTGATTGGGGCGAAAAAAGGTTTTATCTCACCCTGAAGCACCACATTTCACAATGGCAACCCTTTCAACCAAAGATAAAAACAAGGGTTTCATGAGGGTCACTGCAGGGTTCGCGCAGGTGGCAGGACAATCATGCTGTCTGTGTATTTCAGTGAGGCCCTACCTGAACCTTTGCTGGGTGCGAAAGCACCCATCATTTCTTACCAAAAGGACAATTCAAAGGGTATGGGATTTCTTTCGACAGTTTACAACTTAAGTACTCATGACCAGCTTCATCACGTGAGCCACAAATCAAAACCCGGGCAGATGCAGGGTAGGGTGTGAGTCCCTTTCTTGACTCTGTACACGGTTGGGTAGACCCCGACAAGGGTTTGAGCACCACTCAGGTGAGAGACTCAGATTCTGCCTGCTTTTATGGGGATTGTCAAAAAACCTCCATTTGGGTTTGTCTTTTCTTTTTATTTAGGGACCCCACAAATATGTGGTTTCCCTTTGGTTTCCCCTCAACACGCCCGCAAAAAGGGTACCCTTAGAAAAGACGCACCCACTGGCAGCAACAGTCAGCATTATGACTTCTCGCAGATGGGTTTGGCCCGGAGGCTGGTCTTGGTTAGGATGAAGATTGCTAAGGGATGGCCAACCATCAACTTTATAAATGGGTGCCTTCGCCGCCGTGTGGATTCTTTACACGGTTCTGGGTGCACTATATTAATACCCTCCCTCCAACAACCATAGAAGCTGAAGGGGGGGTTTGGACACCTACTTTTCTTTTGGGTCCCGAAGGCGTTGTCCACTTCTATGTTTGCTACCGCACTTCCTGAAAAATCTGGAGACTCTGCTTTTTGGGTTTAGACCACTTTTGGTGGATAGAACGAGTTCCAGTTGACTTTTTTCGGCCAATCCACTCGATCAGAAGCGAGTGTTGGAGGGTAGCGATGGGTTTTGACCTCCGCCTCAGGTGAGTTTTGGACGGTACCGGTCAAGGGAAACCCCCCGGCCGTAAATGGGTGCTTTGCCGCCTTTTTCTCATTTTCTGCCCATGGGTTCTGGGCAGATCCTTTTCTTCTGCAAAACCACGTCGCCGGAGCGCTACTAGGTCCCCCAGCAGTGCCCTTTTGGAGGGTTCCCCTACCAAAATAGACTACAGAAGAAGAATCGGGTACCCTTATTCCAATCCCTACTTCTGGAGGACTTAGGTTAAGTGGAAAACGGGCCATGCAATTGTCAGTGGGACTGCATCTGCCGGGTCGGTTTGCGACCGACCTATGCCGCCTGAGGTGAGTCACATATCAAAATCCGGTTGTAAAGAATGAAGAAGGCGGATGTTCGCAACGATTTCTGGCAAGGGGATTGTCCCTTAACCTCCATCTACCCGAATCGGTGTTGAGCCCGTGGCTCATGTGGCCAACACGCAGAATTTAGGTAATCACAATCCATGTCGATTCATCATCTGAACCAATGAAAACTCCTTCATAAATTCCGGGACTGTAGCATCCCGCTTTGAGCGTGCGAGCCGCAGCAGGCACAAGGCCAGTGATGTTGATGGACAGGTCGTTCATGGCGTCTGCCCATGACGCGGAATTGCTCTTTCAGGGCACCCCAAGTCGCATGCTGGGACTCTCTGGATACAAATGATTTGTGGCTCAGGTGAGCTTCTGCCGGGGCGAGCTACCGATCACTTGGCTGCGGGATCGCCTGGCCCGGCTGCTGGCGGCGAACCCCTGGCTCGGGGGCCGCCTCGTGCGGAAGAGCGAGGCCGAGAAGCTTGGGGGGATTCGGTTTGGCCAAGTTTAAGGCCGAAATGAGGGTTGGGCCTTTTTTTTGGGGGTGTGTGTTTTTTCCTCCGCCCCGAGGGTCGGGTTGGTTGGTTTGGGGCGGAATAGGACAGGCATGGATGAGGCCAAACATCCATCCTTCGGTTCTACCCTCTGAGTCTGAGTGGATGTGTTTGGGGGGGCTACTGGCTTCTTCAGCGTTCTCTGTTTCAGTAGCCTAGATACCTTTAGCCTTTTGCTCTTTGCTTCAACCACCAACTGGGTGTGGAAAAAATTAGACCGGGATATGGACCGCAGGTTTTAGTCCTTTGCCAGGGCAACCCATCTTGGGTACCTATTTTTGACAACCACGCCCAAGGGGCAGACACCTCGACGGAGTTCCAGTGCTCAGTTCGGAGAATCGCACGGGGCTGACGACCACACCCATGGCCAAAGCACGTGATGCAGGCGAGGTGAGCAGAAAACCAGTGAGCCACAATCAAAACCCGGGTAGATGAACATTTGTAAAGGATACTCCCAACCATACATAGACCATTTTTCATACTGGGTTTTGAGTATGACTCAGGCGTGTTCCTTGTCTTCGATGGAAGCATGTTCACTCCCACCGTCCCGTGCTCATTCTTGTTTTCCTTCGGGCTCCGCATTTTTCCGAGCTGGGTGTGGCGTGCCCGCCCCAAAAGAAGTCATCCGCTTTCCATGTGGTTTCACGTTAAAGCCCACCGAAAACGGGCACCTCCCACCGATGAACATGGAACCTGACGTTCAGGGGGTCCTGGTTTGAAACATTTTCCTTTGAAAGGGACATTTTGTCCCGAACGTCAGGTTCCGGCAGTGAAAAGGGTGGGAGTGTACTTGAAAAACTATCTAGCCTTGATTTGCCCCCATCCTGAAATGCAGTTCCTTTTTCTGTTTTGGGAACAAACAACTGGAGCTTTGGGGAGGGGTACTACTTCCCCCAAAAAAGACAGGCCAGCCAGGTGGGCGATGCGCTCAGCTCGGCTCTGATAGGTGTCCTTTTTTGGTTGATTTTGTTTAAACGTAGAGGGCGATTCCTGGTTTACCGGTGGTTCAATCAAATACCAGGGCCATCTGGGTATGGGTCAAAGTTAAACCACCAGGAATGGGACCGCAGGTTTGAGTCCTTGTTTCCATTTACCAGGGCAACCCACTTTGGGGTTACCATATTTTTGACAGCCACAGCCACTTGGCCAGGGGTCAAGAAACATCAAGCGTAAATAAAAAAAATAGGGTTGTGAATTCACCTACCCCAAAATGGGGATCGATCCCAGTGGTGTCCAACCAAAACGGACCGAGACTGACGTGTCGGCTCGTCTGTCAGGCGGTGTACCTCAGCTTCGGGTGTGACGCCGATGCCGAGCGGCACTTGCAGCTCCTGGGGCTGGGGGCCTCAGCACCCCCCCCCCCCCACCCCAGGGCCCACCTTCCCTCTCTTCTAGTGGAAGGCTTGACTGCTACACGGATCTTTTAGACTCTTCTTGGGAAATCACAGGGGTTTTACTTTTCGCAGGGGGGGCAGCAGCAACCAAGAAGGTGTCAACTCTATATCAAGCAAGGGAAGTGTATATATATATATATATATGCATCTGTTGTGTGCGGGGTTGTTCTTTGAGGGTACGCTTTCCAGGTTGGTTTGAAGGGAAGCAATGAGGAACATATTTTTCGTGCGCGTCACTTTGTTCCCCAACAGCTGAAAGCTTTGGGGTCTCAGCCCAGACAGGCTCCGGGGTGGTCCGGGGCAGCCCTGAGGTAAGGTTCCACGAGGGTTCCACCAGGGTTCCACCAGGGTTCCACGAGCTTCTGCAAGGGCTGTGGGTTGGTGCGAGCACTAAGAAGAGAGCACTAAAAAGAGCTCCGCATGCTGTTGGGGATATCACCCGAGCTTTTTTGTTTGGGGGGGGCGCGTCCCCGTCAAATGCCACAAGCCCAAATTCAGGTATCCCCTAATTGGTGGAGTGGATTAGTGGTTGGGGGATTTGAACCCCCGATTCTTGTGGATAAGTGACAAATCATGGAACCGGAACTAGGCCAGCCCTGGCTTGAAGACGCTTTGGGATACAGTCATCCTCCCCTCCCCAACGCGACTTCTGCTATCTACATTCATCGTGTAGTCACATGAGAGGTCTGAGCTTGTTTTTGTGGGCCAATTTTTGTTTGCCAGGGCTTGGAAGCGCAGGGATGGGGTGGGCCTGTTCTCCGGTCTCAGCTTACTGGTGAGGAAACCCTAGCGCTAGTTTCAAGAGAGCGGTTCGTGACTGGAGAGAAGCTCAGGGCGCAGGGGGTTTCTGCTTCGACTTTTCCATGAAGGGACATGGACATGACCAATCAAGTGAAAGGGGGCTCAGCCCGTTTGGCCGAGATCATTGTTTAAAGGCTCTCTGGTTTGACATGCCCTTATTTTGGCAGTGCGATTGGACCCCTCTCGGAATTTTGGCGGAGCGTACTTTGACTTTTGGGATGGCTAGTGGTTGGAAGGGAGCAGTTCCAGAGCTGGGGGCATCCCAATTTTGCTTTGAAAGAGGGAGCGGTTCAGGAGCTACTGATCGGATTTCTGCACGAGCATGGTAGATGGCATCCCTCGCGCTTTCCGAGGCCCGACGTGATCCAAATCACCGCCGACATGCCTTACGAGCTCATCAGCCAGCAGGTGAGTGGCTCCCCAGCCGAAGTGAGGCCGGTTTGGTTCACAGTGGCTCACAAGGGTTCCCTCAGATTTGTGTTTTTCCGCTTGATTTTCTATACCAGCCCGCAAAAGGGACCCCCCCCGGGACAAAACATGAACAGAAAAAGGGAGATTGCTTCACCTCGGACGTCCTTCTGCACAAGGAGCCCTTGACCACCTGTCTTTTGGGGTATCTCCTGTTTTCGGAGGGGTGCGAATTTCAGAAACGTCATCTCTCCATTCCTGGCTCCAGATTTGCAGTGTCAACATTTGTGTTTGGGCTGACTCACACCCTTACTGGATGAGCATGGTTGCGGAGCAAAATGCTTTTTGGGTCAGAATTTTGCGATACGGGACATCCCTTTCGGAATTTTGAGGTGATGCTGTCTTGGGCATGCGCGGGATGCTTTAGCCCCCGGTCCTTTTGTGACGTTGGTATGGTTTGGATGTTTCGGAACATTTTTAACTACTCCCCTGCAACTTGAAATGAAACTCAGAAAAGGAGGTCCCCAAGGGGAGATTCCTCCAATAACTTTTGTTTCTTATTCTTTTTTCCGGTTCCATGTCAATTTGCAGGAGTGTAGATCCATGTGAGGTCTCGCCGAAGCCCCCCCGAAGCCTGGGCAGGTCGGGCATGGACTGCCTCCAGAACCCCCGCGAGCCCTTGATTCGGGTGTCCCTGTGCTGTGAAGCTGGTCCGGGCCTTGGCACGGGAAGCAGCTCAACAGTGTTTGGACGTGAATCCCCGCCAAAACGATGTCCACCAAAGGACGAAGGGATTCACTGCTGCGGTCCACACCCCTTCACTGTAGTATTGCCAAGCCGCTTTGCATTGCATCTGTGGGCGAGAACGAACATGAGGATGTCAGTGTGGCATGCACCCGCATGGCATGGGTTTATCACGTGGTTTCGCCTGCGAGTCTCCGCTCGCAGGCGATCGATTCGCGCTCATCGTGTCGCTATCTCACATCATTGCGGACGGGCGATTCGGCTGAGCTCGGTGACCTGTTTTGAAATGGATGGCCTGTGCCAGAAGCAAAGCACACCTTGCTTGCGGTAAGGAACTGATGAACATGTGTGGCAACCATTTCAAGGGGCAGGGGAGCCATGCCAGATTCGGAGTCTTGACCATGGCACGGCCAAAGGGGCTGGGGGGCGGGAGCGGGGGCCGGGGGGGGGGGGGTATGAGTCGCAGTCCGGAAGAAATGCAGATTCGTGGGGCCGCTTGGTTCATAGTAGGCCCGTTCGAAGTTCTACTTGGCAAAGCTGGCCAAACCTTCTCCTTCAAGGGCGCAGAGATGTGGGCGGTGAAATCCGGAGCCGTTGGCCAAAAACGCCGCAACAATGTTTGATTTGCTGGCCCAGTTTTGAGACTTTGCTGGGAAACCATATCCCTAAGCTGCCAAGCGGAGTTTTCATGATAACATGTGGTCCGACTCACCAACGAGCAAGCCGAAATTTGGCACCGTGAGTCCAGTTCTGCGTCCACTTCCTTTGCGTCGCTCAGTGGCTTTAGTTCAGGGTCTCTGAATTCTGAATTAGCAAAGCCAGTGGAAGATGAAACTAGGGATGAAAAGGAACGGTTGCCCAACGATGCCAGGGCGTCGCCCTTCGCTTGCGAAGCAAGGTACACGTATCACCGGCTCTTCCACATGCTCACCAACCGCTCGGTGCCCGTGGTGGCTTTGAACCCTTGCCGGAAGCTGGAGTTCCACGAAAGGCGTCTCAAAGCGCTGGGGCGGCGCCTTAGCGGCAGGAATTTGGGACCCCCAAGGCAGGGCGTGGCGCGGAGGTGTGTGTGTGTGTGTGTGTGTTGGTGAAGCTACGGGATCCCCAAACACTTGATCACTTTGTGTGTGTGTGTGTGTTTTTTCAGAAGCTTGCAATGCAATCAAGAATTTAGAGGGATTCCAGGCTATTTCATTGCTTCGAGTGTGGCGCGGAAGGGTCCAACAACCCAAACACGACGTACCGAGCCCTCGGCCCTCGGCCCGCGAGAGCTGAGGAAGGAGTACGAGTTCATCTACTCCCCGCAGTATGTGTTGAACTGCCTCATGAGCAAGGCACGGGCAAGTGTGGAAACCCCCACGCAACACCCAACTACCCATGGACCCCAACTTCGGTGTGGTACCCATGTTGGAGTTGGTACCCGTGGTGTGGGTGAAGGGTTGGCCCCCGATTTGCAAGACCCAGTCTGGGGCCGCGAAGAACCTAGTTGCCACCTGCCCCTTGAAAAAAGAGAGGTTGCTCGACATTTCCTGTTATTTCTGTCTAAGTTTCATGCTCATGGTAGTTGCGCAATCAGGGACACTTAACTGGCCATGATTTCCTCCAAAAATGACCCCTCGTCCAATGAAATCACTCACCCGAGGGAAGCTTTCTCTCAGTGGGTGAACCATGTTTCTATGAAGCCTATAGGGAATCCATTCTTTCGGTAGACATTTGGGGCCATCTCCTTGTGGTTCCTGCAGCTGGTTCTCCATGTTCCGCCCTTAGCCAGGTCTTCTTTGGCAAGCCCAAGTGTGGGAGCCTGATGCGGGGGGGGGGGGGGGTTGGGCAGCCAGCCACCACGCAGGTATCCGCGGTAGCCGCAGGCTGTGTTTCCTCGGTTAGGGCTTTGTTCTGTGGTGAAATCCATGTTGCACCACTTTACCATCCCTGGAACTGAAACGACATAAGGGTTCTCGGTAAATAGCGTCGGGGAAGCGAAATCCAAAACCCTGGGTTTCTTAAGTGGTCATAGCGAATCCAGGATTTCGCATCCGGATCGCTCGGGCCCACCAAAACCCACCAAGCCCATCAGCCCCGGTGCCCGAGGCCGTGCGTACTTGGTGGACCCTGAGAAGGTGAAGCAGGCCAAGGCGGATGGATGAGTCAGAGAGCCTCTGACTCCATCCAGATTTGGACCAGTTTCTAAGGGCCGTGGGTTTTCTTTGGCGGGCTTTAAGGTGGAAACCCGGAAAACCAACGCCAGTTTGGGGGTTCCCTAAAAGAAGAGGCACATCTTTCGAGGGTACTTGGACGTTTGGGGTTGGTGTAAAGGTGAACAACGAAACCTCTTTGGAGGGTTCCCTAATTTCGAGACAAAGCCTTTTGTGCTTGTCCTTGCCAAGGGCAATGATTCAGTTCCCTACAACCAGAAGAAGAGGCGATGCTTGGTGTGAGGCATTTTTGAGAGAAATGAACCCCCAGCGTCAAGGGGGCGAGCTGTGGGAATCTTGGCCGGGTAGGGTTCCTGGGGCCTTTCTTCCTGGGAAGCTTTCAGAGCCGCGAGGTTTTCGGGGACTGGGATCCCCGATCCCTTTTCGGGTTGGGCAGAGGTGGCGTTTCGAGACATGTTCTTACCCCAAGAAAAAGGAGTCTCAGCTCCCTGGACATTGCTGGGGGTCATTCTTTTGGCTGCTGGGGGCTATCAAAGTCCGCAAATGGGGCTTGTTTCCCGAAAAACCCACCACTCAGCGGGTGACTTTGATCATGGGCAAACAAAGAGCCCAGTATATTCTCGGAATTTCAGAAGGCTTCACCGGACCCGGATCCCGCCACCCGCGGGCTCCTGGGCTCCTTGCCAGGCGCGGGAGGGGGCGGCCTTTGTGTCCACGAGCCTTGGGCGCTTTTTTTCTTCTTCTTTTCTTCTTCTCGGAACGGATCGCGCGTCGAGTTGTGTTGAGTCAGGTGACCTCAAGATCCGTTTCCTGAAGTTGAGGTTGTGTTTTTTGGAACAAGATATGAGGATAAGGGGATCTTCTGCAACTCTTTTTTTCTGAGGTTAACATGGAGCTGGAGGGGATGTGTTTTGGCAGTTGTGATGCACAACCCAATCGCTCTGGGGACCCGGGGCATGGGGGGGTGGGGGGGGGTGGATAGGGAACCAGCGCAATGGCGAGCTCATTTGGGCGACTCAAATGGCTGTCCTTTTGCTCGATTCTTGGAGGGATGTTTTTTGTCAGATTGATCCAGAGATGCAAAGGAAGGCAGGCCTTTCTAGGCATTTCATGCGACGATTCCAGCAGGGGTTGAAACCAAGGAGTGCTTGGTGTCCTTCTAAGGTTAGATTGGTTAAAAGTAGATGGCACTGCTTTAGATGGTTTTGTTTCAGTTTCCAGGGCCATCTATATTTCCGCAAGGTTATATCTATGGCAAGGTGGATCACTTCTTGCCAGGCTTAGGACACCCGGACCCGGGTACGCAGGATACGCAGGATTGGAAGGGCTCAGGTTCAGAGGCTGTACTTGCAATCCACCTCCAGATCATTCTCAGGCAGCAAATGACAGGCTTCTGTGGGTCAACTGTTGTTGAATCACAACCATTGGCCGCTCCGATTGATCGGCCACCCAGGAACGACATTCTCACCTCCATGTTTGCCAACGCTGTGGGTGCCCGCGCTTGGGCCTCAACTGGGCCACAGGAGGGGTGGGCTTAAAGTGTGCAGCTGGGTAGACCCCAAATGGAGTGGGTCTGGGTGTAGTGGGGTATGTGGGGTATGTGGGGTGTGTGGGGAATGTGGGGAATGTGGGGAATGTGGGGAATGTGGGGTATGTGAGGTATGTGGGGTACGTGGGGTATGTGGGGCATGGGTCGGTGTGGAGTGTAGGTTGGGGGCGTGGGGTATGTGGGGTAGGGCAGGGGAGATTTTGGGGTCCACGAACCCTTTAGAGCTATGAATCGGGATTCGGGATTAGGGCTGGTTTGGGGATGGTTTAGGGTTGGTGTAGGGCTGGATTGGGGTTGGTTTAGGGTTGGTTCAGGGTTGGTCTCGGGGCTGGTTTGCAAGCTCGTCCAGCGAGCATAAGAATGTGAGGAGCAAAGATGCCAGAACATGTAGCGGTACGATCCTAGGGCGGTGACCAACAAGCAACAAATGAACAACATGTGTGTGTGTGTGTGTCTCTGTGTCTCTGTGTCTCTGTGTCTGTGTGTCTGTGTGTCTGTGTGTCTGTGTGTCTGTGTGTCTGTGTGTCTGTGTGTCTGTGTGTCTGTGTGTCTGTGTGTCTGTGTGTCTGTGTGTCTGTGTGTCTGTGTGTCTGTGTGTCTGTGTGTCTGTGTGTCTGTGTGTCTGTGTGTCTGTGTGTCTGTGTGTCTGTGTGTCTGTGTGTCTGTGTTGTCTTTCTTTCTTTCTTTCTTTCTTTCTTTCTTTCTTTCTTTCTTTCTTTCTTTCTTTCTTTCTTTCTTTCTTTCTTTCTTTCTTTCTTTCTTTTGTGTGAGTTGGTCACCTATTTAAGGCGTGGCGCTTGGGACAGGACCGGTCCCCAGCCTCTCCGGTGACCGGCCGCGAGGTGTGCTCCATGGCGGTGAACTTCCGCGGCCGTTTGCCCGGCCTCACGGAGGCGCCTGTTTCGGTGAGGTGGGTCGGGAGGAGTTGGTCGTGTCCAGCTGATTGCCCCTTTTCTCTCAATTTTTTTGGGCAACGAAACCTTGTTGGAGGTGTCCTTTTTTGTGGAGACAAGCCCGTTTGTGCTTGTCTGGGTCTTTTCAGTAGTGCCCTTTTACCCTTTTTGGGTGAGGAGTAGGGTTTTTCTACCTACTAAAAGAGAGACAAAAGTGGGTGGCAACTTATTCTAACCTCTCTACTGGAGGACCTAGTGGAGGTTGGTCGGGCGGGGGTTCGGTGATTTTAGCAGATGTTCACCCATTTGTTTCAGATCATATCTTTTCATAATTTTACAGATCTTCGTTTTTGCCACTCTCGATTTGGGATTTGAGTTCCCAGCCCCGGTTTCCAGGCTTCTCCGAACTTCCACTCCGAACCTCCAAAGACAAATCTGGGTCCGTTGGTCTTCTATCTTGGTTTGGTCGTCTCTGGGGGTTGGTTGAATCACGTGCTCACAGTCCTTTGAAAGGGGTCCTCTCATGTTTTATCTCGTATTCAAACACATTTAGCTGCGAGAAGCTCTTTTGTGTTTCTCAGCGGCGTAAAAAGGGGCAGGGGGGGGGGGAGGGGAGCGAAACCGGGGGGCGCAACGCGAGCGCCAGGTCGCCGGGGCGAACGGAGATGCCTGCGTGTTCCAATTGGCCTGTCCTGTTTTGAACTGGTGCCGAGTTTGGCATCTTGAATCAAAGGGAGACCAACATGAAACTGGCCGGATCGATCTGGGGCCCATTTTAAGACGACCCCATCTTGCCTTTGGCCTCAGTTTCCCAGGGCCGGCCTGGTCTGGCCTCTTGGTTTGTTTCGGATTTGGCCTCCAGTTTTAGGAAAGGGCCCAGAAGGTGATCACCTTTTTTTATATCCAGGCCCTTTGAGCAAGTAAGCGGCAGAGAATGTAAATGATGCTCATACCATTCATACCTCCATCCCTCCCACCGAAAAGCAGCCCGAGGCGGAGGCTGGCAACTACGAGGCGCCGGTCCCCGATCTGTTCGGGGTTTGAGCGGGGGATCCACGACATGGTCTTTGTCTCTCTTGGTCACTGGCCCTGCCAGTGCCCATGGCCCTGCCATTTGTTTCCGTTCCCCCCCCCCCCCCCTACTGGGTGCGACCTGCTTGATGCCGACTTCATATTCCGGCGCCTTCCGTCAGAACGCCAGAACGCCCGCGAAATGTGGGGAATAGGGCCACCCCCCCGCCCTTCGGTGGATCCCAGTTACCTTGATAGCGGATAACCAGACCTTTTCATGTTGGGAAGGTGGTTCCCTCGGTTCCGTTTCACTAACCTGGAACCTCCCGAAAGGTCCAGAAAAAAAAGGACGGGACCTGTGGTGGGTTCCACGGCAACGTGCCTGGAAGGCTTTTTTTTTTTTACAGGGACCTACTGGGTTCCAGGGCACCGTGGACAGGCGGCCACAGGTTGTAATCACTGCCGCCAGTTCTCCACCCAACTTCATCCCTGCAGAATCAGCTCATCCCCCCCAACTCAGGTTGTAATCTCTGCCGCCAGTTCTCCGCCCAACTTCATCCCTGCAGAATCAGCTCATCCCCCCCAGCTCAGGTTGTAATCACTGCCGCCAGTTCTCCGCCCAACCTCATCCTTGCAGAAGCCCCAACTCCATACAGCTCGGAATTCGCCCCCCGACCTCCCCCCCCCCCCGACTCCCCTTGCAGGGCCTGATGTGCCTGGGCCCCGAAGCTTTCGCCGCGCCGGGCGGCGTGCGCGCCCGGCTGCGGAGCCTGGCAACGCCTGCAGCTCCAAGCGAGGCGCGAGGCGAGTGAGCGAGCTCTCCGCGGGCTGCTGGGGAGGTCTGGCGGGTCTTTGTTAGCCAAACTTTTGGAGATGGGGGTCCCCTAAACAAGGGTGTCTTTGTACCCCTGTTGGGTCTTTGGGGTCTTTTTGTCCCCTAAATAAGGGTGTCGTGTCTTTGGGGTACACGTCTTTTAGCAGGGGCCAAAGCCAGACGCGAGTCTTGCGGCGGAATTCGATGGGATCGGGCCAAGGGACAGGGGTCCAGCTATAGTTCCCTTTTGGCGATTTTGAGCATCACCTTCTTGGCCCATTTAAGGCGAGTTTCCCTTCTTTTCAGGGGAAGCATGGGGAACCCTGCTTAACATTTGGATACAAAATTAAACAGCCAGGGTTATGCAGGTTTCAGTGTTTGGTTCCATCCAGGTGCCATGTTGATACATCTTTTTGAGCCACAGCCATATTATTGTTGTGTCTTTTCTGTTTCGACAAGATATGCTCACCTTTAGCTCTTTGGAAGAATGAGTGCTTCCTGACTATAGAAGAAGCAAGGGATGGATCAACTACTTCAATGGAGGTCAGCAAAAGGTGGATCCTAAATAATTAGAATCGGGCGCTGGGGGACTGAAAAGAACACGTTTTGTGACAGGAGGGAACTGCTAGTGGCAACTAAAGCCCATATCTTTTGTTTGATCGTTGTGCAACCGCTTATTTTCGCAAACATTGCGAGGAACCAAGGTTCTTGACTTCTTGGTTGCGCCGGGAACGACCTATTGGTTGGTCACACATTGTGGATTTCCTTTCGGGACTTTCTGAAAGGTAGGGTTTACTTTTCACCAACACGGAAATGCCTACAGTTTCCCGGGGCCCTGATACAACCCCGGCGCCCAGAATCCAAACCCTTCGCCCGAATCATTTTCTCCTGAAAGGGAGCCTCTGCGCTCCCTGAGTTTCTGGACTTCAGTCACTTTTTGTTGGGTTTAGAACATTTCTTGCTGGTGCTCAGTACGGAATGAGGGAATGAACCTGGGGGTCCCCTTAAAGGAAACCACCAGTTGGATGGTTTTTCAGAGTTATACCATTTTGCCTATCACATGAGCCAGTTTAGGTGGGGATTTATGTTGACTCCATTCACGTCTGGAGATTGATGTCCGCAAGCCACAGTGTCTGGAGTTGAGTCGCTTTTGAGGTTAGCACCTTCGTGGTCAACAAGTTTGGGCCATCGGGGAACATCCAGTTTCTTTTTTTCTAGATCTTCCCCCATCCATTCGATTTTTTTGCTATCTTTGGGGCTCATCTGGATCGGACGTGCGTCTTCCCTCTACAAGCCGCAGCTTCTGGAGTTTTGAGGTTTGGAGCATTTTCGTGGCAGACAACAACTTGTTGGTGCCCAGCAGGGATGAGAAGCAGAATGACCCCAAGAAGAAACCATCCCTATAACTTGGTCACTATCTCTGGGCCCTGGATCGGACGTGTCTTTTTGCCTTCCGCCAGAGGCCCTGCCCGGGTTTTGGGAGTGCCTCGGAGCGCGCCTGGCGGCCGGGGCGCCCGGGCAACAGAGCGGGAGGTTTTTACATGCGGTGAGGTGAGGCGGCGTGAAGTGTTTTTTTTTTCCCCCCCAGAGTCTAGTGCTACCTTACCCATTTCCATTCTTTCGAGGGATCCAGATCTTTCTAGAAAACCTCCGCAAACCCAGGAAAAAGGATCCGGTTTTGGGAAAGAAGAATGGTTGAAAATAATGGTTGGAATCAACCCTTAGAGTTGTGCGTGTTTTTTGATTTTGTTTTTTTTTTGGAGGGTAGCCGGTTTCACCCTGGTGAAAAAGGGAGGCCAAAGGAGAAGCCAGAGGAGTTTTTCTTGGGGGGGGTGCCCACCGAGTTTGACACCGGACCTGGTTTTTGTTTTTGCTGCACTCTGGAAAGCTTACGGTGTTTTAGGACCAATTTCTGTACCAGAGGAACCCCGTAAATAAATAAGTACGAAGTAGTCATGGCCTACACTGGAGAAGTCCTGTCCATGACCTCGAGACGCCGGAGCGCGAGCCAAAAGCCGGTTTCGGGACACTCGGAGCGCATGGTTTTTCCTCGGACACCCATCTTTCAATTGATTTTAAAGGGTTGCGCCAACAGGAACACTGAAGCCATTCTGAGGCGCAACCTTAAGACAGCTCCGTGTATGGGAAAAACGTTTGCTAGACAACTCCAACGTGACATCCCTTTGGGCGAGCTACCTGGATGAAGAATTGAGAAGCCCTCCAAGTCCGCTGGACCACCTTTTTGATGTCCAAAGGGCTAATCAAACATCATAGGGCCCAAAGGGTGAGCCAAACATCATACCGTGGATGGAAATCCATTTCGCACCACTTTGGCGCCATGGGAAGCCATTGCTTGTTGGTATTTGCAGGGGAATCATCATGCCGTTGGGTTTCTTAGGTGGTGCGAAGCGGATTTCGCAACCATCCACAGTAGGTCCAAAGCGTGAATTCCAATTCACAGCAATGTACTAGGCCCCCCGGTAGTGCCCTTTTCAACCCCTTTTTTGGTTGGGAGGGTTCCCCTACGAACATAGACAAAGCAGAAACCAAAAAACAAAACGTTGGTAGCAACTTCTTCTAACCAAGTTGGAGGAGCCAACTTTGGCACCTCCTTCTATTTGGTACCTACTTCTACTTGCTACTTCTTCTAACCTACTTTGGTACCAACCTCCTCCTATCAAATCTGGACCTGGTGTCGCCCCACCTGAAAAGGTGAAAACCCCCGAGGTCATCACCAGCTGGGCCTTTGAGGGGGACCCCTCCCTGGAAGGTGCGGAGGGGACTCGGCGACCGACCCGGGAGTCGAGTCCGGTCCGGCCACACGAAGAATGACCCGAAAAGGATGCGGCGGTTCTCTGATCTGAAAGAAGAAAACAGGCAAAAGGGTTGTCCAGTTGTTTTCTTTTTCTTTTTTTGGTTGGATTGAGAGCCACACATGTGTGAGGTATTTTTTTGGGCGTCTCTTGGAGAAGCGTGCTTAAGCCAAGAATCGGTTGCTCCGCCTTTGGGGCCACAAGGGTTTCGACGAAAACGTGTTCCAGCTTACGAGCAGGTGAGCATCTTTGCCAGGCTACCCTTAGTCGGTGGTTTGGATTCGAATTTGGCTCTTGCAGAGGGCACTCCTTCACCACCAAGCCACTAGACATAGGTGTCCTTTTTGGTTGATGTGGTTGAAAAAGAGGACCCTGGTTTTCCTGGTGGTTCAATCATCTACCAGGGCCATCTATTTTCCCAAATTGGACACCGATGCCACTCGAGGGAAGCCGAGTTTGCGTTTCGCGCTGTAGCCCGGCTCTTGCGCCGAGTCGAGTCGAGCGGAGGTTTCCCACTTTCATGGGCTTAGGCCTTCGGCCCACGTCAAAGATGTCTCAGCAATCCGCAGAAAACCTTGAGGTTGGCCCCTCAAACATTGAGGTCAGTCTGGGCCGTTCTTGTTTTTCTCTTCTTTTGTTTTTCTTCTTCTTCTTCTTCTTCTTTTCCTATTTTTTTCTCTTCTTTTTCTCCTGCTCACATGTGACCATCAAAGACTCCCCACGCTCGCCCCTCACCCCGAAAGCGCCTTCGAAGGTTGACTTAACATATCCAGTCTATGGTCCATGTGCCGTTCGCCCCTCTCTAACTTTCCGATGTTTTCTGGCTGTAAGGCCACGTGTTGCGCAAGCCCGTTTTGCTCGTTCTCCCAGGCCCCGCGGACTTTGCCCTAGGCCCAAAATGACTGCCGTTTTCAGCCTCTGAGCTCTCACGCGGTCTTAGCGCGAGCTTTTTCGCTTTAAAACTTGTGCGTGTGTTTTTCTCGTTCTCCCCCCCCCCCCCCTGGTCGTTTTTGAGCCTTTTGAGCCTGGACTGGTAACCCACGTCTTGTCCATAGACATGGCGCAAGGCGTTTGCGCCAGGATGCCAGATGCTGTTGCACCTCCCGCACTTCGACTTGGGTGAGGCCCGGCGGGTACTATGAGAGTGGCGAATTTCTGTCCATGAAGGCCCCTGACTTTCGGCAACTCCCGAAATCAGGTTGGTGAACGTAGGCGTCCTTCTTGGTGGGTTTTTGTGAAGACAATCAATGGCCCAGCTGGTTGTTTCATGATTTACCGCGGCCATCGATGTTCCCAAAAGGACACCTATGATTTTGCAGATCTAGGCTTCTTGCTTGTCGCAGTATGACCAGCGAGGAATTTCGTTTTTGTTTTTTGTCTTTGCCCCGAGCTTTCGGTTCAAAAGTAAACACCCCCTGCCCTTTGCAACCTATAGGGGTCCTTAAGAGAAGCTCATGAAGGCCGAAGCCTCCCCTCATAGGCGGTGCCTGGTGTTTTGCGTTCCTCCACCTTTTTGGTAGGTTTCACCAGCCCAACCCTCCAACACACTTCCCTCAGAGTTGGTAGCCCCCTTTGTTGGTAGGTCTCACCGGGGAAGCCAACCGGAAACGCCGCAAAACCCATCTCGGGAATGCCGCCGAAGGTGAACTCGGACATGGCGGTCGTGTTCCGGCCGGGCGCCGGGCGCCTGGCGGCCGGGGGCCCAACAATTCCAAGATTCGGGCGGCGATCTGGGGCGGGTGGGGGGCCGGGAAGGGGGGGGGGTCCGGTTCTCGTTTTTTTTCTTCTTTTTCTCCGGGTCTCCCGTGGAGAGACCTGGCCAATGCGGCTGCTCGAGGTTGCAAGAGATGATCTTTGAATGCGTGCAAAGGGGTTTTCTTTTTCCGGTTTGTCCAAACATGTGAGTTATGTGCAAGATACGTCATACATGTGTTCAACAACGAAGTGTAATATGTGTATATATACGTATATTGATCATGTATGATGTACATTTTGCCGTTTGGGTCATTTGGGGAGGGGTCGGATGTAGTTTTGCACCCTGGCTTGCTTTTGGGCGTGGGAATGGGGACCCAAGCGGGAACATCGGCGTGAGCTGCAGTTTTGCAATCCGGAGCAGCCAGGGCAGAGACACAGGGTGGTTGTTTCTCTGCAAGCCAACCAGCCCCGTGTCCCCATTCAAAATAAAAACCAAAAGGCTTTCAGAGTTGTTTAAGCATGCTGGCCCAGCTCTTTTACCGACACATGAGCCACTTGCTCAAAACTCAGGTAGATGAAGGTTGAGAGATAGTCCCCTTGCCATAAATGGGGCAGCTACCTTTTGGATTCTTTACATAGTTTTGGGTACAACGTTTGAATGCCGGGTTTGTTCACCGCCAGCTTCAAGTGGTTGAGCTGAAGCAAGGATGGCTGCCCCTTGACCCATTGCGACATCTCCAAATGGGTGAGGGGGGGGGGGCAGTGGCATTCTTCAGTTGGTAGCTGCAGGAAGCAAACAGGAACCCCGGCTGGGGGACGGATGCGTCTGTTGGGCCTTTTGGCTGTCGAAGCACTCGAGGTGCTGACCTTCTCCAAGGAGCTGGACATGGATCGCGCGCTCGGCTCGAGCGTGGGAACGCCGCTGTGCCGCGAGGTCTTCCGAGAGGCGGAGGGCGCAAAAAAGGCGCAAGGCGCGGGCGGGCGTTGCGAGGCGCATGTCTCGCTCCCTGAGAAGCGTTTCGGGGACCTTTGGCTCCACTCTTCTTGTTGGTTTGGGGAAATTCGTCGCGGGCAAAAACAACGGCCGGTTCTGACTTGTTTTTTTGGGGGTGGGCCAATCCACAAACATACGAAGAAAGCGGTCGCTTTTTTGGGTTTGGACCAGTTTTGTGACTGGTAAACACCCCACGGCTCCAAATCTCTTCTTTTTTGGCCCATCGCCGCTCCGACTCGTCCGGCGAGATGCGGCCGCGCCTGGACGCCGGTGGGTGGAGTCACCGCTAGTCGAAGTCCGCTGAGGCGCTGCTCATGTTGGAGCAGGGCCTCACCTTTGAGGAAGCCTGGAGTTTCTGCGAGAGGCGGCGCCGGGTCCGGGGTGGGCGCCACTGGGGCTCGGTGTCGGGGGCTGTTTTTGTTTTTTCTTCTGCTTTTTTCTTCTCCATGTGTTTCTCTTTGTCTTGTCTTTCTTATTTGTGTTCTTCTGTTTTTCGGGTGTTTTCGTTTTGCATTTTTGGTTGGGTGTGTTTTTCCCGGGCGTTTTGTTTTGTGTCAGTCTGAGGGCTCTGATCGCGCGCTTCAAGAACTTTTCGCCAACACGGAGGTTTCTGTCAGGCAGTGTCTGACAGGTGGGCTGGTCGAAAAAGCTGAACAGCTGTAAGCCAAAATAGGGGGTGGGTGATGGGGGATGTCACACTGGTCAAAGGGCACTGTCTTTTTGGCAACAAAAACAGCAACTTGATGGGTGAAAGTCGCCGTTTTCATCTTGGCCCTTGGCTTATCGGCGGAATCCACGGATTCTTCCAAAAAAAGGCTTAGGCAGCGGGCCGTTTCATATACCGCCTCTATACTCTTCCCTGAAAGAGAGAAAACTCATCACCCCAAAGGCCAAGTTATCTAGGGGTTTTTCTTTGCTTGAGGTGATGTTCAACTGGACCATCCCGCCGCCATGCGGATGCGACACGAGCAACGCGTTGGCTTCAATTTGGATTCGTGGATTCCCATGGCCCCCAAGGGCCGTACCGGCGGTCCATGTGGGTGTCTCGTCTTGTTTGAGGGTATCCATGTTGGAAGGTGTGAAAAAAAAGGAAGACCCGGGCCCGCCGTTTTTGGTTTTGGGCCCGATTCCTTCAAAAAGAAACAAGAGACAGACCCGTAGAGTGGCAAAAGCTGGGACCTGCTGGTTGGGTTCGTTTTGTTCCCGTACACCCCCTCCCAAAGGGTCAATAAGTTCGGACACGACAGCCCCCTAGGTAGAGGGAGCCGCCCATAGTCCCCGATTTTTGTCCGTACGGGTTTGTGCCTATGTTGAGGGTACCCCTTTGGCCTTGGTTTAAAGGCAAAAAACTGGCTGATCACCCTTGTTTGGGCCCCACCCTATTCTGACGTACATATGGCAACCTCCCAACATGTATGTTTTTTTTGGTTTCCCTTTGTATAATCCATCCCGCTCGAGCACGGATGCCAGAAAGCGGCCCATCGTGTACCCCAACGCGTGGCTGCCAAGATGCGAACCGGGTGCCGGCAAGCCGGTGGTGTTCTGCATGCCCTTAGCAGGGCCACTTTTCTTTGCGGATGCCCAAGGAATCCCCAACAAACAGAGATGAAGCGTCATTGCGATGGCCCACTTTGGCATTGGTCTGTCCCCTGGGTTTGGTTGAGGGAAGGCCGAAGTGGACACTGCGGGAGTCCTAGTTTGCGACAATGTCGCATGGCGGTTTGCTGCTGAGACACCAGTGTTTCTGGGCGGTGGGTTGGGATTTTCCCGAGTCTTTGGAAGTCCATAGTTGTTGGCTTAGAATGCCCTTTCCTTCGTGGCCAGCTGAATCAGGAGAGACAGGCGGACAGATTCCGCCTCGTCGAGGTTCCGGGTTGGGACCCGTGAGGCGGTTGGTGAGCCAATGCCAGAGCAATCGGAGGCAAGCAGCCGGAGGGTTTTTGGTGCGATTGTTCCAGCCCTCAGCTCTGGAAAGGAGGCCCTACCTATTTCGAAGGTTTGCGGGGGAAACCGCGATTTGCAAAAAGCTGGGCCCGTCCGATAGAATCCTCTCGCGTTTTGCGCGCGCGCGCGGGGGTTTTGCGGGGTTGGTGAAACGTTGAGGTGGGTTTCCAGCAGCAGCTGAAGCACCTGGAGAAGATCATGGGGAAGGTGGTCGACTTCAAGGCTCCGGGAAAAAAGGGGGGGAGGAGGAGGGGGGGGTGGGGGGTTGGGGGGTTCGAATGCGGAGCTGCGCTTACCTTCTTTTTTTGGTTGGGGCGGGGGGGGGGGGGAGGGGTTTAGCAAGAAGGCAGGGTTGAAACGTTGAAGGTGTGACGGGACCCGTTTTTCCCACAAATGTAGGGTTGAACAAAAAAGTCCCACACCTGGGAGACCGCCTTGGATGTGTTGAACGAGGGAAGACTAAAGGAGCTTCGTTGGAAACATCCCAGCTTGCGTGCTCAGACGACGCTTGCGGGCTTCATGCACTCGTGGTCCTCACGATCGATCAGCATTTGCGGGCGCCAAATGTTGATCGTCATGATTGACTTCCGCGCGACGCGTGTTGTGCAATGAAAACCACGCGGGGGTGACTTGATGCCCCTGAAAAAGCACGCGATGGGTCTTGCGCCATGCGCTTGTCAAGACTCCTCGATGGTCTGCGTTGACGAAGGGCCCATTTGTTTCCTTCGACTTGCCTTGAAGCCACACACGCGCACGCACACGCGCACGCGCACGCGAACGCGCACGCGCACGCGCACGCGCACGCGCACGCGCACGCGCACACGCACACACACACACACACACACACACACACACACACACACACACACACACACACACACACACACACACACACACACACACACACACACACACACACACACACACACACACACACACACACACACACACACACACACACACACACCACCCACACACACACACACACACACACACACACACACACACACACACACACACACACACACACACACACACACACACACACACACACACACACACACACACACACACACACACACACACACACACACACACACACACACACACACACCCACCCACACACCCACCCACACACCCACCCACACACCCACCCACACACCCACCCACACACCCACCCACACACCCACCCACACACCCACCCACACACCCCCACACACCCCCACACACCCCCACACACCCCCACACACCCCCACACA